ACCCTAACCCTAACCCTAACCCTAACCCTAACCCTAACCCTAACCCTAACCCTAACCCTAACCCTAACCCTAACCCTAACCCTAACCCTAACCCTAACCCTAACCCTAACCCTAACCCTAACCCTAACCCTAACCCGAAATCCGTAGAAAGTGAACGGAGGACTCTGGCGTGTTCGGTGGATACTGAAAGGGACTCGTAATGGCTGGAATAGGGGAGTACAACAGGCGTCGGTTCAGTCGGTTGCCTTCTGACTGAGCTATCACTTGAGCACATTTAATTCCTAGTCGAAATCCATAGACAGTCAAAGGTGGACTCTGACATATTTAGCAGATACTGGACTCGTCCTCTGACTACTGAAATCATGGAGGGAGAGAATTCTGAGTACTCACACTGCACACTTGGACTACGTAAGTAACTACGTAAGTATACAGGCAATCTACTGGACTAATGATTTTGCCCTAGCATCTTTGGGTCATGCTGTCCTGCCCACCATAAAACCAACTCAAGTCCATTGTAAAATCGACCAGGTGTCTCTCCTGCCATTACCCATCTTGCAAAGGTTGATGTACAGTTGTCTGTTGGCAGATCTGGGAACACTGTCTTCCTTGCTTTACCAAGTGTCCTGATGTCATTGTAAATAACCACAAAAGCAGGACAGTAAAGTCTTCCATGGGGCACTTGTTCTTCTCCCCAGCTAAGAACTGTGTGTGGCATTCTGGCTTGAACTGCTGATCCTGAGGCATCCCACAGCTGTAGCAGTAGTGGAACTTGCGAAAGCCAATCTTTGCCATCTCCACCCGCAGGTCCATCCACTCATTCATGTTTGGAAAGAACCCCTTTGTACCACTGCAATCCAGCCATCGCCTATGTTCTGGGCGAAGAACAGCAAGTGTACGGGTGTATGCCCAGCATAGAGGACACCGAGCAAGGAGTCTACCTGTTAGCACTTGAAGTAGATCTGCCTTGCGGCGCTTCTCAGCAAACTGCTGGTGTGCAAAGGCTGTATCAATTGCAATTGCCATGGATGGTGGAGGACGTCCAGAGCCAGAGGGATGAGAAGCTGTTACAGGTGTAGAAGGCACCAGGACTCTGCCCATTGAGGGAGCCACATGGGTTGCAATTGCGATAGGTGGAGGAGGATGTGCTGAGCCAGAGGGATGAGAGGCTGTAACAGGTGTAGATGAAACCAAGACTCTACCCCTTGGGGCCACTGCAGGATATGGAGCTCTCCTAGCCTCTTGGATAGCTTGGAGACGCACAGCAGAGCCAGGTTTCGCTAGTGGACTTGGTGTGGCTGGGATAAGAACCTTTGGTATAGTGCGAATTGGTGTAGGAGTGGGTGGAGCTGTTCCAGGAGGCGTGAATGGAGATCTCTGCTGCTGTGCATTCCGCATAGCTTGGATATGCAATCCAGATGCTGTGTTAGTTGATGGATGATTTACCAATAATGGGACATCCACCATTGCACTGAGCACTGGCTGCACTGCAGATGGCTGAGCTGCAACAGGTGTTACAGGATCACCCATAGCAAAGTTCATCAAAGCAATGTCATCCAGGCCTGTGTATAAATCATCACTGTCATCAGAGGCCTGATGTTGAACCACTGATGGCAAGGTAGGTAGAGCAGCTGGAGCCGAGGCAGGAAGACCTAGAAAAGCTGGAGCAGAGACTGCCTTAACAAGAGGAACTATACCAAACACCCCATCAGGCACAGGGGCAGCTGCAGGGGGAGTGGGAACCAAGACAGCATCAGGCAGCTGTACAAGTTCCCTAATCTTGACAAATAGCGGGTGCTCAGGATTACACTTATCACATAGGTGCGCACCAGGAATATCTGCACAAGTGATGGCAACACCATCCATTGCCTCAGAGATCTTGACTCGACGACAGCTCTCCTTGTCCATAATCCACTCATTCATTGGAATAATGCCAGATAGATCTTCCTTGAGGCCTTTTGGTTGGATGTGGTGAACAGTGTGATCTATAAACTGAATACTGAAGGCAGGTGAGCCATCACGGCCTGTCCGTCCATCTGCCTGTGTCTTGGGCACTAGTCCAAAGAGAACATTGTCAAAGATGACCGCTTTCACCCTTGGATGATCTATCCCATGGATCATTGTTGTAGTCGCAACAATCCAGGGGAAGGTACCATTATACCAGCCTTGCTCATTCATGTGGCGAGACATCCAGCTGAGAGAGCTTTGTTCAGCATGAGACATGCAGTTCTGAAAGTAAGGTGCCAGGAGCTTGACACGTTCGATGGATGGACAGAAAATAATGCCTCTACAGCTCTCATCCCAGAAGTTAGCCTGGATATGCTGAGCCACTTGAATGATGAGGTTTGCCTGATTACGGATCCGATGGTTGACTTGGAAATAGCTGTAAGACACATTGGATCGATAGGTAGCAGCACGGAAGAAGAGGGTGGAATTGGGAAGGGCTGCAAGCTCCAGATAACGCTTGACAATGTACTGAGGAATTGTTGCACTTAGATGGATCTTCTGAACAGCATATCCAGCCAATCGAGAGAGCCCCATAAAGTTTTCACGGTATTCAGAGCTTGTGATGAGCTGGTGTGCTTCATCAAACACTATGCGCTTGATGACATGCTCCATCTCCCTGTAGAACCTTATAAAA